GGGATTGAGGTGTTGGGTCATTATAGATGCAGGGTGGGGATTGAGGCATTGGTCACTCAGTGTAGATACACTACAGGGTGGGGATTGAGGTGTTGGTCAGTGTAGATACACTACAGGGTGGGGATTGAGGTGTTTGTCAGTGAAGATACACTATAGGGTGGGGATTGAGGTGTTGGTCAGTGTAGATACACTACAGGGTGGGGATTGAGGTGTTGGTCAGTGTAGATACACTACAGGGTGGGGATTGATGTGTTGGTCAGTGAAGATACACTACAGGGTGGGGATTGAGGTGTTGGTCAGTGTAGATACACTACAGGGGGGGGATTGAGGTGTTGGTCAGTATAGATACACTACAGGGTGGGGATTGAGGTGTTGGTCAGTATAGATGGACGCAGGTTGTTGGTTAGGGTGTCAATCAGTGTGGACGTACAGTTGGATAAAGGTGTCGGTCAGTGTGGATACGAGGTAAGGAATGTGTTGTCAGCCACTGTGGATGCATGATAGGGATCACTGATTGAGGTGTCGGTCATGATCAGTGTGGATGCAGGATAGGGATTACTGATTGAGGTGTCTGTCATGATCAGTGTGGATGCAGGATTGGGATTACTGATTGAGGTGTCGGTCATAATCAGTGTGGATGCAGGATTGGGATCACTGATTGAGGTGTCGGTCATGATCAGTACTAGCGTGGATGCAGGATAGGGATTACTGATTGAGGTGTCGGTCATGATCAGTTTGGATGCAGGTTAGGTATTACTGATTGAGGTGTCGGTAATGATCAGTTTGGATGCAGGTTAGGTATTACTGATTGAGGTGTCGGTAATGATCAGTTTGGATGCAGGTTAGGGATCACTGCTTGAGGTGTCGGTCATGATCAGTTGGGATGCAGGATAGTTACACTGATTGAGGGGTCGGCCATGATCAGTTTGGATGCAGGTTAGGGATTACTGATTGAGGGGTGGGTCATGATCAGTTTGGATGCAGGATTGCGATCACTGATTGAGGTGTCGGTCATGATCAGTTTGGATGCAGGATAGTTACACTGATTGAGGTGTCGGTCATGATCAGTTTGGATGCAGGTTAGGGATCACTGATTGAGGTGTCGGTCATGATCAGTGTGGATATAGGATAGGGATAACTGATTGAGGTGTCGGTCATGATCAGTTTGGATGCAGGATAGTTACACTGATTGAGGGGTCGGCCATGATCAGTTTGGATGCAGGTTAGGGATTACCGATTGAGGTGTCGGTCATGATCAGTTTGGATGCAGGATAGTTACACTGATTGAGGTGTCGGTTATGATCAGTTTGGATGCAGGTTAGGGATTACCGATTGAGGTGTCGGTCATGATCAGTTTGGATGCAGGATAGTTACACTGATTGAGGGGTCGGTCATGATCAGTTTGGATGCAGGATAGTTACACTGATTGAGGTGTCGGTTATGATCAGTTTGGATGCAGGTTAGGGATTACCGATTGAGGTGTCGGTCATGATCAGTTTGGATGCAGGATAGTTTCACTGATTGAGGTGTCGGTCATGATCAGTGTGGATGCAGGATTGGGATTACTGATTGAGGTGTCGGTCATGATCAGTGTGGATGCAGGATTGGGATTACTGATTGAGGTGTCGGTCATGATCAGTTTGGATGCAGGTTAGGGATTCCTGATTGAGGTGTCGGTCATGATCAGTTTGGATGCAGGTTAGGGATTACTGATTGAGGTGTCAGTCATGATCAGTTTGGATGCAGGTTAGGGATTCCTGATTGAGGTGTCGGTCATGATCAGTTTGGATGCAGGTTGGGGATTACTGATTGAGGTGTCGGTCATGATCAGTTTGGATGCAGGATAGTTACACTGATTGAGGTGGCGGTCATGATCAGTGTGGATGCAGGATAGGGATCACTGATTGAGGTGTCGGTCATGATCAGTTTGGATGCAGAGCATAAGGACAAACTGTTATATATCCAGATGAAAACAATTGTTGACCTATTTTACAATGCTGAAGAAACTTATATCATGGTGACACCAAATAAAATATTCCTGAAATGTTTATATTGTTCACATCATCACTTGAAAATTTACTGAATCTTAAACAGTTGAAGTGTACACTAGCTTGTGAGTGAGTGGCAGACTTGGAGTGGTAGTTTCCACTGTAATCTGACACTGGGCAGGGCATCTTGCAGCAGACCTTGTGTTTTTATCAGCAGACAAGTGAATGTTTCAAGCGTATGTTTTCTTCTCATTTCTCATGGTCCTCCCCTGACAAGTTTTACATACAAACATGTACTTATTTATCTTGCAAGTGGTGGGGCATTGCATTATGAGATCAAATCTGTTGATACAGGATAGACAATGTAAAGTCAAAGTAAAATAACAGTAGGATTTTCCCCTTGAAATTGTTTGAGCACGAAACAGGAAACACAGATGTAGATGTAAATGTATCTTTTCTCATATACTTGATAATTATACACTACAGCTACAATTAAATATTTACATGTAGCTTTTGGTGATGGTATGTTTTCAGGTCTTTTTCTGTACACCTGTCTCTGATACTTAAGTGTATACAGTATACACATAAGCCAGAAATGTGTAGAAATTGTATATATACAGTATGTCAGGTAAAGATAGAATTATCCTCAAGATCATCAGCTGGCATAACTTAACATATCTGGTACTATATATTTTAGTTTCAGTTTTTGCAGCATGTACATTGCATCTTATACTGGGCGTATGTATACTGGGCGTATGTATGCATATGTATTAGTTTATTATATGATAGCTTCATGCTCGATCACCTACCACATTAAAAAAACAAAAATTGATGTACTTGTAAGTTTTAACATTGTATAGTCTCAACAAAGTAACGTAGAAATAAATTAGCACTGATAAAGTGTTAGGACTCCAGCAGGTTTTTTGCAAACAAAAAGAAAGAAAAAGTTTTTCTTCATGGGTGATTTACATGGATAGGCAGACATTTTACATCTGATTATGTGCCATTTTAAAAAGTCAAGGTCATTTAATTATTTCAACAAAACTTGACAGCAACTTATCCCAGAACACTTGTGTCCTAAAGTAACTTTTGTAAACCTTGCCACTATAAGGACCTGATAAGAATTTATTTGAAGTTTTTCACACATTTGACCATAGCTGTGAGAGAAGAAATATTCGGTCAAGGTAATTTATTCAGACAAAATTGTTATCCTTTCACTCCAGGATACAGCTAGCTAGCGCAAGTATTCTGGCCTAATTGTTCTACATATATGCATTTATATATAGGTTTATTAATTCCTATTGCAATGCACAGTGCAGTGGGACAGGGATTCTTAATAAAAATGATTAGTTATTTTACCTCCGAGGGCGACTAATCCAATACAATGTTCTATGATTGATCATCAATGTTGGGCAATAACATGACAGCTTACAAGAGTTATTGAGACTCGGAATGGACCTGAAACCTACTTAAACAGTTCTACTCATAGGTTTTACGATATGCTGCATTTTAGTATCATGTATTTATAAAGTGTCCTCCACATTTTACCAATTTTTGTGAATACTGTTCTGTTTATTTTATTTAAATTTTATGACTGGTCAGTGATCAAACATTAATTGACTGATCTAGATCATTTGAATGAAACTGAAAGCACTTCATCGCAGCATGGTACAGGCCAAATATCATTGTTGCCCCTTGGTTTGTTTCTTGATTATTAAAACAAGAGATCCCAGAGGGATCTTGGCACCCACCTTTGTACCATCTTCATTAGTTCTTTGTCAGTTCGATCTTTTCTCTTCTTTCCTCTAATCTATTTGATCGAGTCATGTTAACAGTAAATGTACCTTGAGGTAACTTTTTATCTAAACTTAATACTGATGTGTATGAAAGCCAACCTTCAAAGTGAGTTTGTCATTTCACATATTTACTAGTACAGTACTTAAATTAAGTGAAAGAAATAGAATCGATCATTGCAATATGAGAAAGATCCCTTTAGTACTTCTTGAGAAATAGCGATAACAAACTTTCACTATCAAAATCCAAGATGGCTGCCTGTCGGCCATGTAGTTTATCCGATCAGTCTCAAAAGTTGCCCTGCACAGCTAAGGACCAAGGGGAACCTGCATATAAAATTTGAGAAAGATCCCTCTGGTACTTCTTCAGAAATACCGATAATAACAATTGTTTAAGGACGGGCGACGGACCACGGACACAGGTGATTTGAATAGCCCTGCACCATCAGATGATGGTGGGCTAAAAAAGCTGTTTAAACATTTGACCTTTGAAGATGTTTTTTGAAAGCATATCAGGTAACATTTTTTTTAGCAAACTTAGCCTTTGACCATAGCATGTTTGAAGCAAAGTGTCATGACCTTATGCATCCAGGTTATTCAGAAGAATTTGTTTTAATGGTTTAACACATTATAATTAGACCCCTATGATTTTGAAAGGGAATGAGGGTTGTTCATTTTAACATTTTAACCCGATACTTGTACATGTGTAGTTCTTCTCTGATTTATGTATAGGTCAAATATATATATGGCCCTTGGGTTTTGGTTATTGGTATGTAATCATATCAACGATTTTAACATATACATGTATTTGACCCCAGTTAAGCCTTGAAAAAAGGTCAAGGTCAATCATTTGAACAAACTTGATATTACTTCATCAACACAAGCTACAGGCCAAAAATGAATACTCTACGTACACCTTACGAATATTATCTAGAATTCAAATAATTTTCAGATCAACAGAAATGACGACACACCATCACATAAGCTCACAGGTACTTAGCTGGTGAGATATGAATACATAATGTATATTGTATCAGAATGGTATAAAGACAGTTCTAATACTCATTCATCTTTGATTCTTTGCATTGTTTACAAGTAATTGCAAGGTTATGTTAATAAATTACATATGTAGCAAATTACCAAAAACTTTGCTTATAAACATCAATATTAATATCAATTATGATACATTTCTATGGTACAGTATAAATATTTGGTATACCTTTGCTAATCTGGCTCTCTTGATGAGATCGTTCAATTTTCTTAAGGCGGCATATCTTGGCAGGCTCTGGATGTCATTGAAAAGGTCTTGTTCTTCCAACTCAAACAATTTACGATTCATGTCAAAATGAAGAGGCTGATCCCAGAAAGACCCAATGTACACTCGAGCTACTTCTGGGGTGCCAAGGACTTTACCCAGGGACCACATAAGCGCACCATACACTCTCATTAGCTGCTGATGGTCGATCATATCAGCTTTGTTGAGGACAATGCGTATTTTATCGTCATATCCTTTGATTGCATCAATAGCACGTCTAAATTCGTCAGAAATGTCAAGTTTGTGTGCATCAAACAATAAAATGATCCTGTCAACTCGCTCTGCAAACCATTCCAAAACCCCAGCAAAGTCATACCCTCTATCCACTCTGTGTTTCTCTCCCGACAGTATACCAGGGGAATCAATTATTGAAATGCTGTTCACAACTGGATTATTCAAAGTTGAACACTGGAATCTGTTAAGGAAAGCGTTCCCAAACTTTGATAGGGGTCGGAACTGCTTCTTTGGATCAACAACAAGGGCATTTCCTGGAATTATTCCATCCTGACTGCCGTGCATAACGCAAATAAAGCGATCTGTGGTTGGCTCAGGACCGATTCGGATACCGGGGAAGTCCTGTTCAAGGAGGTACCGGATGAACGTGGTTTTACCTGTGGAGTACTGGCCGATAAGCAGCACCAAAGGTTTGGCATCGAAGTCAGGGTCATCGAGACATGGGGAGTGAAAATCATGGAATTTGTAATGTTCTTCAAGTGGAAGCAACTTTTGTCGATATAATTTCTTTAGACCATCGCTAACAGTCTCAAAAACTTCCGGCTCCTTTCCCCGCTTATCATCTGAAAGCCACCTCCTCATCTTGATTTGTCTTTCTTGTCGTATGAGAATTCTAAATATCTTAGCATCACCTCCCTTCCTGACACACCGCTACGTAGGGTTGGCCGGAAGATACTGTCAATCCTACGCCGTATGAGTAATGCGCATGTATTATACAAAGAGGAACTAGAATTCATTTCCCGCGGAATTTCGGAAGCTCTCATGACTTTTCATTTTAATAGATTCGTCAAAATCAGAGAAATATTTATTTCCCCACGTGACATAAACGTCATGGTATGTTTTGGTTCCTGCCAGCTGACACCCAGGAAACTAGAACATCGAAGAGAAAAGATTTGGATACCAAATTTCTAAGTTGCTTGCATGAAAAGAGTCAACGCCGTCACAATCTTTGATATTCTTACTACAGCCGTGTTTGAAAAATATTTGACGAAAGCGTTAGATTAGACCGCAATCAACTGAGGTGGGCTATGTTTTACGATGAGGTCATTACTTGGTGTGTTTCATTCCTGAAGGCCTATTACTCACCGCACACAATAACATACTTATGTTAATGTATGAAATCATATGTATGTTTATCTTTGTTTGGATTTCGTCATCATTAAAACGACCACCATATGATGTTTATGTTGTGTTTATATATATACAAATGACATTATATTGCCTGATGAACAGCTGATCGGTATGTAGATGGGTATCATGACCATACATGTACATCCTAGATTAGGAGCACATGGCCGTCTAAATGTTCTTTGTTTATTGATTATCACTTAAACAGTTGTTTTTTGTATATTGAATTCTGGAAACTGCATCTTTCTAGAATTAATTGATTACATACAAAGTGTGTATACATGTGATTCATTTGAGTATATGAATGTGATTGTGCTTTAAATAGACAAACATAATTGAACAAACATGCAGTAAAGAAAATATGATTACGTTTTCACTTTTCAAATTTGATTGACATTTTGAAATAGCAGTTGTCAGCTCAAGTTTGCATGGCATATAAAAAAGTGACTATTAATTATATTTTATATATTTTCAAAACAACAAGAAAAAAACTCATATTAAATTAATTTATAAAAAATTGTTTGATATGTCACAATGCACATACATGTACTGAACCATTTACTAGTAGTTATGTTACTGACTCTCTTGGGGAATTTCCCTTTATTCTATCAGTGGAAATATTGGACTATTGCTCTGGGGTCCCGTGCCTGAAGGCCTAGGGGTAGCCTGTCATATGGGATATTTGTTAACCAACAAGTCGCCTGTTATTTACATGGCTTGAGGAAGTTCACTTTAATTGTCCCCTCTCTGACAGACAACGGCATGCATGAAGAGTTTGACTATACAAGTAATATAGTCCTAGGTTCAACTCCTAGACTGCTTTAGCTCAATCTGTAGAGCATCAGACTAGTACACCTGAGGTCATGGGTTGGACATGTACATTGGAGGCATTGAAAAAATAATGATTTCTATATCTGTTACATTGCATTTACCCCTGGAAAACTCGATTTGGATTACTTCTTCTCTGGAGTGGGAGTAAATACATGTATGCATGTCATCCTGGTAAAAGATAACCTGCTTTCTACCAACTCGGCTAGGGAGGATTTCTGTTTAGCTTAGTCAATAGATAATTCATTCAATTACAATTGATTGTTGTGGTTATGCCAACAAGGAATCACACTTGTGTTGTTTTTTTCCAGGCAACATTAAAATGGGGCGTATCTTCCTGAGACACATAGGAGGAACACGCCTATTTTCTTGTGCCAGCTGTGACACATCCCTGACTAACAGGGCAGAGCTTATATCCACACGATTTACAGGTAGGTAACAGTAAAAACAGGTATACACTGACATGACAGAACCTTTTAGTCCATGAACTGGATCATCCAAAGTCACATGATACCCAATATTGGAGCTCACAGCCACATAGTTTATTAGCAGCTTTAGTGTATAGGCACTTAGTTAAATAAAAATGTACGATGACACACTCCTAACCAAGTGTTTTTCATATCCACACAGTTTACAGGTAGGTAATATAACAGTAAAAACAAGTATACACTTCTAAGTTACAAAAAAAAACACCAAAAAGAAAGTATACACTGTGACACCCCCCTCTATAAGGGGTGATGGTTCAACTTCATGGTTTACAGGTAGGTACCAGTAAAAACAGGTATAACCGAGACGAACCCCTTCAACAAGAGTCAGAGTTCCACTCCTCATAGTTTAGAGGTAGTTATACCAGTAAAAGCAGGTTTACACTGTGACACCCCCCTCTATAAGGGGTGATGGTTCAACTTCACATGGTTTACAGGTAGGTATCAGTAAATGCAAGTACAAGTGTATAAGGTACTGTGAAACAGCCCTCATCATGGGGTCAGGGTTCTGCTCTACAGAATTTATAGGTGTATGTATATGTCCTAGTAAAAGCGGGTAAACACAGGGACATATCGATCTGTTTTATGATGTACGAGTGTTTTTATTGTTTGCCAGTACAATATATATGAATGTGAATGCAGATATATGAAACATTTGAGCAATCATGATCAATAATGCTGTCCACTCCTACATTAATCCACCGATCTCTTTGAGACTTGGTATACATGATAATCATGATATGAAGTTGTGTCTCCCTAAAAAGGATTTTGATTCAACAATTTTTCCAAAAGTTATTGCCCTTTGTTCATTTCAGTATTTGAATTTTGTGCGGCAATCTCCTCCTACATTGTTCCACCGATCTCTTTGAAACTTGGTCAACATTATAATCATGATATGAAGTTGTGTCCCTCTTAAAAGAATTTTGATTCGACAATTTTTCCAAAAGTAATTGCCCTTTGTTCATTTCAGTATTTGAATTTTGTGCGGCAAGCGCCTCCTACATTGTTCCACCAATCTCTTTGAAACTTGGTATACAGGACAATCATGATATGAAGTTGTGCCTCCAATAAAAGAATTTTGATTCGTCGATTTTTGCAAAATTAATTGCCATTTGTTCATTTAAGTATTTGGAATTTTTTTTGTCTGAAGATTTTCTCCTACATTTTTCGATCGATCTCTTTGAAACTTGGTATACATGACAATCATGATATGAAGTTGTGTCTCCCATAAAAGAATTTTGATTCGACGATTTTTGCAAAATTTATTGCCATTTGTTCATTTAAGTATTTGATTTTTTTTTGTCTGAAGATTTTCTCCTACATTTTTTTATAGCATATCGGCTAACCACTCTTAGAATGATGCAGATCTTATTTCAATGTAAGAAAGTATATAACACTATATGGCATTCGACAGGCGTATTTTGTTCCGCCCCGCGGTACTCTTGTTTAGTATGTTTTTATATATAATAATTTAAGTACATATTTGTGGAATTTTTGTGTTTAGTATTTGGGATGCTTAGGTCACTGTCATATGTGATGGTTACATAGAAAACCTATGTCATTTTTCTTGCAATTCTTTAAAATGGGTTTTGATTAAGTTTTACTACAAAAGTCAAGCATGAAAATACCTCAAATTTATGTCAAGGGTAGGTGGACCTAGATCTGTATCACTTCTATTTTATTTTTCCTTTACCTTTAATGTTTACTTTTAGAACAAGAAATATATATATGTTTTTATAATGAAATGCGGAGTTGCTAGAGTGATATGTAACTAGGTGCACTGTATGCTGGTATGACCTCAAACAGACTTGCTGACAATGGGGGGGGGGGGGGGCACGGGGCACTGTATGCTGGTATGACCTCTAACAGACTTGCTGACAATGGGGGATTTGCATTGTTTGCCAGGACTTGCTTTTTTTGTATAATGTTGACACACATTTAAGCTTCACAATTAAAATTCACACACAACACATTTACTTATCAAAATTGAACTCTTCCTTATAACTCAGCTTTTGTACATCTGATGTTTATGATGTTGTTCCTTTTCAGGTGCTACAGGACGAGCCTTCCTGTTCAACAAGGTAGTGAACCTCAACTACAGTGAGGTACAGGACCGGGTTATGCTGACTGGTCGACACATGGTCCGTGACGTGTCCTGCAAGAACTGCGATGCCAAGCTAGGTTGGATATATGAGTTTGCCACAGAGGACAACCAGCGCTATAAGGAAGGTCGTGTCATCCTGGAGCGTGCCCTGGTCACAGAGAGTGAGGGATTTGAGGAGCATGTTGGACACGATAGTTGAACTTTCTCACCCTTCAATCTCTGTAAATAACTGATGTCTGTGTGCCATAGCATACACAGCAGAGAGAAGCCTATCAGGGGTTGGTACTCAAATCCATGATGTGTTTTTTGATTGGCCATTTCCATAATGATGTCTTGGCGATGTTTTGCTGCTATCATGGTATGGATGCCCCATCAGTGATTGGTTGGTAGATATGTACAGCTATACATATAGATCACACCCATTACTACTGCTTGTACAGGTCCCAAGGTCACAGGTTAGCTTCACAAGGTCAGTGAAGTTCAGAGGTCAGCTCTGCTGTCAGTGACTCAGGTGTTTATACAAATGTAAATAGCCCTTCATAATGTTTTATTGGGTTATTTTACGAGGAATGGATGAGATGAAATTGCACTAATTGCTAAATCATGTTAAAACATTAGTTACTGAAGTGAACACATATATTTTGCTCTGAATTTTACCAAAAAGTAGAGAGTTTAGTTAATGATCAGAATTGAGAACAGTTATCGACTTATCGCTTTATTGTACTTGTGTGTGAACTCCTGCTATTGTGATTCACTCTTAGTTAGGACCATAGTATAGTATAGACTTTATATATTTATAGAATAAATAGAAGTTAAGATGTAGCTTGATATTAGCAAAATCATTTGTTGAAAATTGAGATGTATTGACAAGAGTGATCTCCCTTCGATAAGTTTTTTTTTTCTTTGCTTGGAAAATTTTACTACTCCATCCCCAAATGCACTGTTGATTTTCTTTCTTATTTTGATTGTGAACATTTCTCTGCAATCATGGTACACCTGAAGTGTTTGTTAAAGCAGCTATTTTCAACTACCTGTATTTATTGTACCAAATCAATTCATTGCAGGGGTTAGTCTTGATTTTAGGGGAACCACCACTTTTTCTGGAATTAAGAATATGTTTCCTGATTTGCTTTTGATAAGTGTCATCGATATTGATGAGTATTTTGCATTTGGGGAAATTTTGGATTAAACAAGGAGGGGTGATGAAGTATAATGCCATAGGGTGCACGATGGCCTAGATTCTCCCCTGGTATGACTGTTATGTATTTATTTGATGTTTTATGGGGTTTTTTTCTTGACATAGCTGGGAAATGGTTTGATTAGTGAGGCCTTTCTATTCTGTTGGTTTAATTGTAGATGGAAATTCTCTTCTGAAATGACATATCATTAATCATTGTGGGATATGGTTGGGGTAGTGTTTTGAACTATGAAAAAATACAGTATTCTGTAAAACTTTAATAAGTTGGAACAAAACCACTCTGTACTGCCAATTTTTTGCCCATTGGCCGTTCAAAATATATTTGCCAATGTCAAATTGGCCCACATACTTGTGATATTTTTTGCCCAATGTAGGAAAATTTTACTAATCATGTAAATATTTTTGCTCAATGTTATTTATAAGGCTGTCATGTAATTATAAGAGGAAATGGTATTCTGAAAACTATTCCTGTAGTTTGTACACTTCAAAAAGCTACCAGTTTTAGTCATGATAAGAGTGAAACGGATTACTTGCATTGATGATCTCCCTTGTTGTGGATTTATAAGTTGAGGTGAAATATAGAAAGATTGAATTGAATAGGAGAAAGTTTTGGCTTAATTTTCCTCTAATTAATGATGATGTCCCCTGTCAACATTGTTCTAATGGTGACCAGAAATCTGAAGTACTGTGATTGAAATGTCAAATATGTTGAAACAATTCTCAGAGCTGTAAAATGTACTTTTATTGCATATACAGTAGATCATGATTCTTTTAACAAAGTTAATAAGAACTTGCACATATGTATTGAAATAAAATGTACACACCAGAAACATGTGTTACAGTCTTATGTTATATAACACCATTAAATAGAAATACATTTGTAGCTGAACATGTAAGACCATGGATGTAAAAAATCATCACTGAAAAAGAAATGAAAAATAGAATCAATATGTATACTGGTAATTAATTGTAAGCTAAAAATCATATTTCACATTCATATTGCTTTGCTGCATACCACGATCCTTACTGACAACACGCCCAACTTAACAGGGATAGCTTACTAAATTGCTAAGCTGTAAGGTACACTTACTGACAACATGACCAACTTAACAGAGATAGCTTATTAAATTGCTAAGCTGTAAGGTACACTTGTAAATGGGATGATTTTGATTTCCTGATCATATGAATTTGTTCGATTTTTTAAGTGCAAAACTAAAAACTGTAAAACCTGCAGTATACTTATCACTGACAGGACTTTAAGCAGGCTTTTTTAAAAGGAAAATGAATATTTTTTCCAGAAACTTTGAACCCCTTAAGAACAGAAAGTCCTACGTTAACCACGGTATGGAATGTGATCTCTGTAATTTGATATGTTTTTGTGAAACAATGTTCTTTGTCGGAAGTGACCATATCAACATTTCAGCCTCCCTTATCATGTTATTCTGTCTATGACGGTCCGTGTCCTTCTGTTATAGAGATGATTAATAACCAATTAGCTAGTGCCTGGACCTTAGACAAAGAGTGGGATGTTACTTTTAGACTCATGGAACTGCTGTGTCTGTGGCGATGACTATAGATTCTGTAGAAAATGTGCTGAGTCCAAGATGCAGTCATACAATTAAAAGAGGAGAATCCTTGACCTGATTGTCAATAAAACCATAATTCAAACTCAATATCGATAAAATCAGTGCAAAATATGAGCAAAGAGAAGGTTTATACGAGGACTTTTGAAAAAAAATACAGGGAGGATGAGACCAGATGTTCGGGAAAGACAAGCGTCCGCTGCCTCGTAGACAAATCTAGGTCAAATATTTAAGTAATGCAAGCGAGAAAGGTATGTCGTGGTCACTCCCAAAATGAGATTTAATGGTTATCGACACGACAACAATCATATATCACAAATGATTGAACAAATCTTACATACTTGATTATAGAGGAACATTACGAGAATAGAAAAAAACTTGGAAAAAGACAGAAGACATGAACCATTGTCAAAAATAGACATAGAAACCCATAACGGGATTACGTTATTTTCTTAACGCCGACACACATTATAACATATATTGAATTTAATTTTAGAAATAAGTAAGAATAGTGAAATGAAACAAAAATGGTGTAATTTTAAAAATTGCGGGGTATACAACAATATTATTTTCCATGTTAACACATTTAAATTAGTTTAGTGTACGGCTGTACGCATACTCGTCGCCGTGTGACGATGTTTTCTTTACTTGATTTCTGCACACGTCCGTGTTGTTTTTTGCTAATTGGAGATTATGTCCATTTTGAGAAGTTTTGATAGTACCACGGAATTAGATTTAAGTCCGTGATAGTACCGACCAATAAAAATTAATATGCATATTTGAGTAGATAATTTTGAGTAGGTAACTTGTCATAAATAGAGCATTTCTCAATACTGTGTTATAATTCAACATTAGTAATGTTGAGTTATAACACAGTACTGAGAAATGCTCTATTTATGACAAGTTACAAAATGCACAAATCATCCATAACGTAATTTACGTTATGGATGATTTGTGCATTTTGTGCGACTCCGTGGTTAGACGCAGACAGCATGGTATCTGAAGTGATGTGTGTGACTGTTGGCAGCATAGAACCTGCCAGACTTGCAAGTACATTATTATACAAGTATATTTAATGTATTTTGATAATTCCCTAAGTAAATTGCCAACGTTTATTTCATAATTCAAATGTACACATCTGCTTAACAATTAAAATACGTATCTATGTACTTGGGAAATTATTTACATTTCGTATACGTCTCTAGAGAAAGTATACATTTTTTTCATCCATATACGCAATTAATATACGTATGTAGTTGTAATTGTTTATATCATGTTTTAAATATTTTTAACGTTAAAATATATACAGGTGCATTTTATAAAGAACAACATTACTTAATTAAGGTAAAGAAATGAAAACGATAATATACAGTATATTCCGGATATTAGTATGTCCGTTGTAGGATACGGTGATGAATATACAGGTTCGTTCTTCACCTTCCGGCACGTAATTAAATCTTGATTCAAGAGAAAGATATTTTTTTAAACTTTTAACATGATATTTATGACTTAAAGAAAAAGATATTTTTTTAGGGCGAAACAACCTGGGGCGAACGGGATTTGGGGCGAAACAACCCTTAGGGCGAACGGGATTTGGGGTGAAACAACCCGTTACCGCCACTCATGATCAATGGACACAATGAAAGCTTGCTGTGTTGGATTCACTTCTGGAGTTGGTTGACCATAAAATTAAGATTAGAAATACGTGCATTTCTTGACTTCAATGTCCAGACCACGTAGAACTTAGTCCGTATTGGCAAACATTTCTGTTTACTTAAAAACTAGGTACGCTTGATAATAGTATAGGGTATACTACTATGAGGTCCTATTTTGAACGGGTAGGGGATTAGCTCCTCCCAGGGTACCTACTTTGGACGGGTAGGGGATTAGCTCCTCCTAGGGTACCTACTTTGGCCGTTGAACCTATTTTGGCCGTGGAGTTGGGTAGGGATTATGAAAGATGGCGGATATACCCTAACATTGACCGGAAGATGGCGGACATCCTGTCATAGTCCACGTAACAGATCGGATTAATCCGGAAGATGTACTCGGAGAGGGTAGCTTAACCATAGGACAGATGATACTGCCTATTTCTCTGAGACTAATTACCTGACACCAGACAAGTCCCTAGAAATCTTTGAATAAAGATTTGTAAACATTTTGAAATATATATAGTTGAGGAATCAGAATATAGACCAACACAAACATTCTTTCGTTAAATTTAAATTTTGTTTATTGATGGAAAATGAAAACAACAAAAATTGAACATATCTAGAGACAAAATCTGACAAAAGATGATAAGCATTAAAATCGGAATTTCTATGTCGTAATGACAGGGCATATGTACGTAAAGCATTCCGTAATGTTGTATGTTTTACATGTATGTATCTGTCATTATAATCAGAAATTTAATTTAGATATTTTTCCTAAAAAAATAATTTTACGTATCCAGAACAAATATTGGACAAATTGTGTAATGCGAAATAAATCATAATAAAAGCTTTAAGCATATCCGGAAACGGATTCTGACAAATATCTTATCCTTCAAGAGAGATTTGGCAAGTTACTTAAAAGATACATAAGTAGGGGAAAAGTGATGGGACAACTGTCCCACCGGCCCAACTGGCCCCGACGGACCCACCCAAAACCGCGGAAAAACAGTTCCCGCCACCCCACCCCAGAACCGCGGAAAAATATTTCCCGCCACCCACACCAAAACCGCGGGAAGTTGTATAAACCCACTCCCGCCAGATCCGGAAAAAAAATCTCCGGCCCTCCGGCCCCTCCCAAGACCGCGGGAAGTTGTAGATACCCACTAAATAAGCTTATAAATTGAAACATTTCACAAAACACGAGATCGAAAACCATCGCCAATTTTCATCCAAGACGCAAAAACAATAAACCTAGCACAAGCACACCGACCATCAAATACAATAAAAATTATCAATCGTACCATTAGATCAAAACCCAAAACGTACGACAACGACCCAGGTGGCGATTTAAATGTTCGGGTAAGAGGAATATTAAATGTCCAGTTTATTTCTCTGGAACCCGTGAGGTCACCGGGTGCTCTCCCTGCCGTTTGAAAACCGCACGAAATAAAAAAGCGTGCTAAACTTTATAAGAGGATTATCAAATGTCGCTAGTCATGGTCCCAACTTCAAGGTCGTATGCGAATTCAGTCGTTCATAAATGAAAAAATCATTTCAAAGTAACCACCTAAAAACAACATCATTCTCCCATACTTACATACCTATCCGTAAGAAACAATCATTTTAAAGAAACCACATACAAATACACAAAATCTCCCATAATTACACACAAACCTATCCGTAAGTACACATACACACAATCTCCCATACTTACACACAAACCTATCCGTAAGTACACATACACAAAATCTCCCATTATTACACACAAACCTATCCGTAAGTATACATACACACAATCTCCCATAATGGGAGATTTTGTGTATGTGTACTTACGGATAGGTTTGTGGGTAATTATGGGGGATTTTGTGTATTTGTATGTGGTTTCTTTAAAATGATTGTTTCTTACGGATAGGTTTGTGTGTACGTATGGGAGATTGTGTGTATGCGTACTTACGGATAGGTTTGTGTGTAAGCATGGGAGATTGTGTGTATGTATACTTGCGGATAGGTTTGTGTGTAATAATGGGAGGTTTTGTGTATGTGTACTTACGGCTAGGTTTGTGTGTAAGTATGGGTGATTGTGTGTATGTGTACTTACGGGTTGGTTTGTGTGTAAGTATGGGAGATGGTGTGTATGTGTACTTACGGATAGTTTTGCGTGTAAGTAGGGGAGATTGTGTGTATGTGTATTTACGGATAGGTTTGTGTGTAAGGATGGGAGATTGTGTGTATGTATACTTACGGATAGGTTTGTGTACTTACACACAATCCTATCGGTAAGTACACATACACAAAATCTCCCATAATTACACACAAACCTATCCGTAAGAAACAATCATACCAAATTGGACTAAATACGTTCTCCACATACATGGTATAAATTATAAAAATAAACACCAGGTATTTAATCTCAAAGTAAACAAAAATATTTTTAAACTAACTTACAAAACAGTAGTAGAATACTAAAAATACCAAATCGGTCAAATCAAGAAACTCTCACGCAGAAAACTTTCAGTCTATCCCATAGGGAACGGGCGGTCTGCGCACCCTCCTGGAGAGAGGTTGTGGAGCACAATAATAATTGTACTT